ACCTAGCTCAAGCCCCCCCCCCCTCACCTCCCCCACGAAACTAAATACCCGGTTACCGTTCTCTTGGATAATGAGAGGCGCCCGGTTGCCGGTTACCGTGTACGTAGATATTGAGGTTACGCGCCCGGTTACCGTGTATGTGACATTGAGACTACACGCCCGGTTGCCGGTTACCGTGAACGTAGACCCTGAGGCTACGTGCCCGGTTACCATGTACGTAGACCCTGAGGCTACGTGCCAAGTTACCGAGTACGTAGACACTCCGTTCAGCAAAATTGTCCTGTAAATCACTCATTTGCCGTAATTTTGGTTGAACATGAAGGAATAACAACACTACAATGCGATAGCCTAGTGCCGTAGTTGTATTCTGAGACCAGGTGAAAATAAAATGGATATATTATATATATGTGAGAATACCGCCAGCCATGTGTGTGTGATGTTGTGTGTGAGTTGGTGTGTGTTTCTTTTTTCTTTTTAAATTCTTTTTTTGAAGTGAAGTACGGCTAGACTGAGAGTCTAGCTGTACTTAAGTACGGCTATACTGCCAGTCTAGCCGTACTTAGATCTAGGTTTGGACCTATCGACTCAAGCCTGTTAAGTACACAGGTCTCATTAGATCTAGATCTAGTAATTATTCAGGTTCAAATACATGCAAGTCAGTAAAGCACCTTTTGGTTTTGTCTGAAATACAAATACTTTAGGCATTGCAAACTAAAAATTTCATTTTTACAATTCAGCCATCAATATCAAGTACAGCTAGACTGACAGTCTAGCCGTCCTTAAGTATGGCAAGCCTGGCTGTCTACCCTTACTTAAGTACGGCTAGCCAAGAAGTCTAGCCGTACTTATCTTATGCCCTATTAACATTAGAAAACAGGAGGTTTAAAATACATGCACAGTCATTAAGGCACCTGATTTCGTCTCAAATACAAGGGAGTACGATGACGTAGGCTAACGTCACATCCGCTGGCATCGGCGGTCGACCTTTGCCTAGTAAAGTCAGCCTACAGATTTACGTCACCAAAGCCCCCCCCCCCCCCCCCCCCTCTCTCTCTCTGTCTGGCTCTCTCTCTCTCTCTCTCTCTCTCTCTTGGGTCGCCCGCGCTTGCTCTCTTTCTCGCTTGC